CTTGTATATATATATATATATATAATATTTTAAAGATTGTTGCTCCACACTTAATAAAAATGTGAGTTTTTCCAAAGAATATGAAAATAAAATGAAACAGAACAACAGTCTATAGCATGTTAAAATACAATACACTACTACAAAACATGTTATCTACATCAGTTCTTTAATTAATACTATCTACATCGGTTCTAAAACCGATCTAGAAGAGAGTGACTTAGTAAATGTATACAATTTTACATCAGTTTTAAAATCGATGTTGAATAATCATAAATCTACATCGGTTCTTCGTATAACCAATATAAATTTGTACGCCAATTTATATCGGTTCTTATTATAACCGATGTAAATTTATATACAATTCTACGTCAGTTTATTACATAATCAATGTAAAAATGTATAGAAATTTACATCTATTTTTTATTGAACTCATGTAAAATTAGACCCTCATATACATATGTTCATTTCTAAAAAAATCGATGTAGATTTTTTTTTTTTGAAAAATTTGTTTGATTTTAGGTTCTTTCTAATTTAACATGTAATAAACACATATATAATTCTCTGCCAAATTTTTGAAGATGTGCATGAAATCAAAAGATTAAACAAAACCCACAAACAAATCAAAATAGACAAAAAGAACAAATTCACTTTCACAAAAAATACACTATATGGCATATGTAATTAATTTTAATTTTCATCTATAACTAACGTAGAAAAATCCTGAAACAAGTTTATAAATAAAACTTGGCCACCAAATCACATTAACAAACCATATTAAAGCATGAACCAGCCCACTATGGCATGGTATTTGTTCCCAAGCAACTATTATAAGCTATTTGTGGGCTTCATCTATATGATCACTGCCATTCTTTCATGTGATGACCCTCATTCTTTTATACTACTATAATTTTAAAGAAAATAAGAGCAACAATAATTCCAGCCCTAAATGTAGCCAATTTCTCCAATCATCCAACATCAACCAGTTAAACTTACAGTTTAGTAAAAAATAAAATATGAACCTGCAGCAAAATCATGCTAAGGAGAATGCCAGTAAAAAAAAGGTAGATTGTGCAACCAAGAAAATCAGCCAACTTAGTAGAACAACTTGATAAAATTGAACATCTAGTAGAACACCAAATCAAAAATAGAAACTAAAATTTGATCCAGTACAACATAGTAATGAATAAGTATAGCAATACAACACCAAATCAGCCACAAATAAAATCTAAAATGTGATCTAACCCTCCACGTAACTAGAAACCAAAATGCAACATCGTCAAAAATCATGATCTATTTCTAAATTTTTCTAAAAAGAACTTTGCCCATTGACTCCGAATGTCTTCCAATTTTGTTTCTAGCAATGGTGCAACATCGTCAAAAAGTTGTAACATACATCATGATATTAGTTACATCATAATCATTAAAAGAAATTAATCAATATTGTTAAAAATAAAAGAATTATATTACCTTGATCCAATCACTTGTTACTTCCCCTTCAATTATGTCTAAAATCCAATTCATCATGTAGTATCCACATTCATAATGTCCTTGTTGTAGATTACTCTAAAATGAATATCAATTTGAGTTGAATAAATAGTTTTTTAATTAAGCTAATAAATAGACATTTTTAGGTATATTGAGGTTACAAACCACTTACCATGGGATAAATCCAATCTAGGTTCTTTGGTTGTATTGTAGATCTACCACTCATAACATTATACACAACCATAACACTAAAGAAAACAAATCCAGATAAGTTACATGATTAAAATTTATAATAGAGAGCATAAAGTTAGTACGTGTTACAAATTAAAGTTTACCTTTTCATTAAATTTTTGAATTGTACATTGGGCTTACGATGCAAAGAACAAAACCAGATTGCAACATTGTTTATAGGACAAAGAACCAAGATTTTCCAATGATTTCTATATTGAACCACAATTAGTTACACAACATATACATAAATTAAATGCAATTAACAAACATGCACTTACTGATCGACATAAGGAGCCAAGTAAATTTGCTTTGGTGAAGTTTTTATCCTTTCATTGATATAATTTTGAGACTCAGCTTTTTTATTCCCTGATTTTTGTATTGTCTGGGGCTCAAAAAATCGATACAAGTCACCATGGCCAAGCTCTTCAATTTTTTGATTCAAATATCTGAAATATATGCAAAAGAAAGAAAATTATGAATGCATTATAATTAAAAAGATAATGATACTAAGAATTGTGTACTTACAACATCCATAATCGTATGATTGAGATGTTAAGCATTTCACGTTGTATTAATTCATATATATATTGAAATGAAATATACAACTTAAAATCATGATCATTGACACCAAATAGACTTGCAGGTCATATCACCTGAAATGATTAGATTGGGTAATTAACAAACCTAAAATAAAAATATGTTAAATACTCTTGATATTAGTTAGACAAGTCACCTGAAAAGGTTGGCCATAAAGTAAGGACTTTGATGCCTCACACAAGTCTCTGATAGGATCACTATTAGGTTTCGACCTATCAAGAGGTGGTACTCGTATATTTACTCCATCAATACCCTATACAATAATCAAAAATCAAATATTGATATTAATAAGCAAATATGTATTGGTAAATAAAAATATTAATAATGAAAACCATAGGTAAAAAATATATACCATGGCTGAAATATCTATCACAAAATGTCTCGGCCATGAAATGAAAATTTGTAGGGCCTATCCAACCAATTGAACCTCTAAAGTAGGTACAGGAACTGGAGCATTAGAATCTTGAACTTGCTCAACAACCACTTTGACCAAATCATTTGTCAAAGGCACATGGTGTATGGCTAAACTCCCCTCATAAACTCTACCAATGGCCACTACCTGAGGAGGAATCTCATTAATGCATAACTCATATTGATTGGATATATTAGCATGAGGCTCACCCCCAAAGGGATTACCAACAACAGTAGCACTTGAAGGAGTTGGAAAATTGCCTTTAGTGCTAGCACGAGCCAGAATAACATGATCTACCTCAACTGGAGGAACATCCTATGACTGTTGAGCACTCACATTTGGGTACTTTGACATTAAACTTTGTGTGACCCGTACATATATTTGTTGTGTGAGGGCTTCAAAATCCTGGGGGCTCAATTTAGATAACGATGAGCCTTGTGACAATGGTCCAAAGTAATCACCAATATATAGTAACACCAGCCCTAGCTATACGAACACGACCAGGGTGCTCTGATCGCCCAAGGGCAGTATTCACTATATCTTGACAACCTTCGGGAATAAAAGAACCTTGTGATGATTGCTCCTCTAACACATTCTACAGTAAACAAACTTTGTTTATAATATATCCTACAATAAAAAATTATAACACAAATCTTAAGATACGTAAAGAGATTTTTTTATAAAAAAATAATTACAATTTTTTTTATGCAATTTGGTTAGCAGACTCAGAAGTCATCTCACTCGAAGTTTTTGTGCGAGCCATCTTCCACAACATATGGCATGGAGGAAGACGTGGAGGATCAATCACTACATCCTCACTAGCACCAGATTGTATTGCTTCCTCCTTAAGTCTCTTAATTTCACTTTTCGTAAAATTTCTCACAAGCAGCTCATAACCCCCACGAGATAATAGGTGGGGAGTATCATTAAGTTTTTGGATATCCTGTGCTTTTTTTCTTACAAGTTGCAATAATTTAATAACACCATAAGTAAAAGTGAAAATAAATAAAAATATAATATAAATTTTAAAAATAATAAACACTACTTACCTTCTAAGAAGGGTCATTTTGAATTTCATGAATTTTTCCCATTCTTCAGGGTCAATATTATACTCATCACAAAGGCTTTTACCCTTGTGTTTCCCATGTACCCACTCACTTGTAAGATAAGACTTATGTTGCCTAAATTTTGTAGCAACAGATGAAAACATTTTACTCTTGAATATATTAGTATCACTGATGTCATACACTTCATACAAAATAATTTCAGATTTAAGAGTTAATAATAATAACATTAAAAATAATCATCATTTTTTCAAATTATGAAAATATAGTGGAAATACCAAAATATCCTACCAAATCATGTTTTTAGTTGTTTGTGGGACTTCTTTCCAAGAAGGAGCTAAAATAGTAATCTTGTCTCGAGCAAGGGTTCCTAAATAACTTGCAAATTGAACTTTGTTTGGCCCTGAAACAATCCTAGTAGTGGGATCCACATCAAGTGATATTTTGGGCCCATTCACGTGCTTAGGAGCTAAACTTTTCATTCGTGTCGACTTCCTCTTTTTCTTAGATGTAGCCTGTGAAGTAGGGACTGTATGAGCAGGGGAGCCTTGAGGAGTAGGGGAGCCTTGAGGAGCAAGGGAGCTTTGAGGAGTAGAGCTCGGTTGAGTATCCATGTGTCTATTTTGACAAAAAAATAACCAAGGTCAATTGGAAAAGAAGTAATTAAATGAATTAAAAACATGAATGAATAGAATATTAAATTATACATCAAGATAAACATAACTTAATACGGTAATTAGATAGTAATATTTTCCCATATGCCTTCATCATGGTCATTACGAGTGGAATGAACGTCATCTTGTTCAATTTCTTCATTGTTAGTAGGCATACATGTTGAGAAAGAAAGACTCTCCCAACATTCAACTGTTGAATCATCAACATTTTGTACACTTCTACCTTGTAGAACCACGGGCCACTTTTCATCAATAGGATCTTTGCCATAAAATACCTGTGTTGCTTGGTTGGCCATGATGAAAGGTTCATCCTTATGACCCACCTTGCTAAGGTTTACCATTGTAAATCCCATTTCATCTGTTTGCACACCAATGTTAATATCAACCCATTTGCACTTAAAAATAAGAACTTTAAATGCACCATAACTGATCTCCCAAATGTCTTCAATGACTCCATAGTAACTTGTAGATGCCACAATAGGATTTTTATCATTTCTACTAGAAAAATGCATGGATTGAGCCTGAAGAGTAACCCCACTATTCTGCATGGTACTATTGTCTTCTTGTGACTTTGTGTAAAAGGAAAATTTATTGATATCATATCCGGTATAAGTAAAAACATTATATTTAGGTTCATTTGCAAGACATTTTAATGTGTCAGAAACACTATCATCACTAAAGACTTTTTCTTTGAACCATTTTAAGAATGTCTTGTTATGCTCATTGACCAATGATTTTTCATTCATTCTAGGGTTATTTTTCTTCAAAAGGGTTTGATGCTCAGATATGTAAGGGAGGACCTCCTCAGTGTTGTTCAATATATACAGATGTGCTTGAAGTAATTCCTTTCGAAGAATGAATTTAACTTTTTGGCCTTTTGTACCCTTGCCTTTATATCTATCCTCATGACGAGACTTAGGAATCCTACAGGTTTTGCTTTGGACATGTAATCTATACAAAATTCAATAGCTTCTCCTACAATGTACCTTTCAATAATAGATGCTTCTGGACGATATGGATTCTTGCTATACCCTTTTAAAATCTTCATGTAACGCTCAACTGGGTACATCCATCGTAAATAAACAGGACCACATAGTCTGATCTCCCTGACTAGATGAACAATCAAGTGAATCATGATGTCAAAAAAAGCAGGAGGAAAATACATCTCCAATTGGCATAGGATAATAACAAACTCATTTTCCAACTCATACAACTTCTTAGGGTCAATGACTTTAGCACATATAGCATTGAAAAAGAAGCACAAACGAGTTAAAACACTTCTGACATTATTAGGCAAAATTCCACGTATAGCCACAAGTAAGAGTTGTTGCATCAAGACGTGACAATCATGAGACTTTAGGCCAACCAATTTAAGATCATTCCATGATACAACGCTCTTAACATTTGAAGAGTATCCCTGTGGAACTTTCACACCTCGTAAACATTGACAAAAACTTGTTTTCTCTTTTCTTGACAAAGTATGACATGCTGGAGGAAAATATGTACGCTTACCTTCTGACCTTGGATGTAATTGTGAATGTATACCTATCTCTAACAAATCTTGACGAGCATTAAATCCATCCTTTGTCTTGCCTTTAATGTTCAAAAGTGTGCCTATTACACTATCACATACATTTTTCTCCACATGCATAACATCTATGCAGTGTCTAACATCTAGATGGCACCAATATGGAATATCATAAAATATTGACATCTTCTTCCACAAGTTTTTCTCAGTTGACTTCTTTTGGATCTTTCCAAAGATAATATTTCTCAGTTAAGGGTATCGGTGCAATTTCATGTTCTTGACATCTATTAAAATCTTTTTTCAATCTTTAATATGGGTGATTAGGTCTGAGAAATTTTCGATGCCTAGTGTAAACAGTTTTCTTTCCATGCTTTAGTTGTAGGTAGCTTGTCTACTGTTGACATATAGGGCATGCGTGATGTCCTTTAACACTATATCAACTCAAGTTTCCATATGCTGGAAAATCATTAATAGTACAAAATATCATTGCACGCAACTTGAAACTCTGTTGAGGATACCCATCAAACACATTAACCCCTTCTTCCCACAAAATTCTCAAGTCCTCAATCAAGGGACTTAGGTAAACATCTATGCCATTTCCTGGTTGTCTTGGCCCTGCAATCATCATACACAATATCACATATTTTCTCTTCATGCACAACCAAGGAGGAAAATTGTAAATTGAAAGGAAAACAGGCCATGAACTATGGTTGGTGCTTAAGTTAACAAAAGGATTCATTCCATCTAAAGCAAGTCCGAGCCTAAGGTTTCTTGCCTCACTACCAAAATCTAGAAACAAATAATCAATTTTTTTCCATTGCGGAGAATCAGCCGGATAGCGAAGCATGCCATCACAATTTCTATTGTCTGCATGCCATGTAAGGTTCATTCCATTAGTTGCATTAGCAAACAATCGCTTAAACCTTGGAATGATTGGAAGATACGATAACATCTTCGCTGGGGCCCCTTTCTCAACTACATCTTCATCACTACTACCACCACCATCCTTCACTTTGTACCGTGATAGCCCATAACGAGGACATTTTTGCAATGTTTCAAACTCTTTTCTATACAATATGCAATCATTAGGGCATGCATGTATTTTCTTATATTGTAGACCCATCGGACACAAAACCTTTTTTGCCTCATAATGACGATTTGGCAAAGTGTTGTCTTTTGGAAGCATTAACTTCAACAACTTGAGTAACTCTGTGAAACTTTTATCACTCCACCTATATTTTGCCTTCAAGTTCATCAATCTCAACACCGCTGATAATCATGTGAAGGTTGTACAATCAAGAAACAAAGGTGTCTCTGAGTCACTTTTTAAAGTGTCATACACACGTGATTGTGCTTGCTAGAAAAACTCTTGTCCCACATCATGAATCATGTCTTCTATTTGATATTCTATATCTACATCACCTTGCTTAGCTTGGGACATAGTTTAAGTTTCTTTATTTTCACCATGCCATATCCATGATGTATAGCTCATTAAAAACCAATCACAAATAAGATGGTCTCGTATTTCATTAATTGCATGTCTTCTCCCATTTAAACAATTAATGCAAGGATAATAAAATTTTCCATTCAAGTCTGCTTGATTTCGTTGAGAAAATTCCAAAAATTGTTCAACCCCATTTTGATACTCAGTAGTGATTCTTTTTGCATTCATCCAACTACGGTCCATTTTTCTTCTTCTATGAGACAAATTTATTCATATAATTGAGTATTTATGGTGTCTCGTTATAGTACAAGAGCAAACCATATACTAAATCAATGATATTATGTGTTGACTAATGAATGTATTTTACATTATCACTACTACAAAAACAATATTTAACATCGCCATATTTACATCGGTTCTAGTAAAACCGATGTAAATTATTAACGCGGTGGCAAACTTGTAAATAAATAGAAAATACAAACATATTTACATCGGTTTTTTTTATAACCGATGTAAAAATGAAATCCAGGAGTTATTCTACATCGGTTTTGCTTATGACCGATGTAGAAACGAGACTCTAATTTTTTCGCGCACGGTGCATGCTGTCTTTTCACTCATCAACAACCCCCTCCCACTCTCTTCAAATCCCCAAACCCTCCTCCACTCCTACACCACTACAAACCCTAGATTCAGACGAGGTAGCTCCTTCCACCGCCACCGCCACCCAAACCCCCGATTCCCACTCCTCCACCCTCCTCCACCTCTCCTTCAACCAGGACTCTGGCTGCTTCGCTGCCGCCACCGACCATGGCTTCCACATCTACAACTGCGACCCCTTCCGCGAGATCTTCCGCCGCGACTTCGGCCCCGACGACGGCGTGGGTCTGGTCCACATGCTCTTCCAATGCAACATCCTCGCCTTCGTGGGCGGTGGCTTTGAACAAGTTGATGATCTGGGACAACCACCAGTCCTGGTGCATCGACGAGCTCTCTTTTCGGTCGGAGGTGAAGGGCGTCCGTCTCTAGTGTGACCGCATCGCGGTGGTCCTGGCCCACAAGATTGAGACTATTGCTAACCCTAAGGGCCTCTACGACCTCTTTTATATTTCTGCCACCATGGTGTTGGTGTGCCCTGGCCTGCAGAAGGGCCAGGTTAGGGTTGAGCATTACGCCTCCAAGAGGACCCTTCGCCCTCACTCACGATGGACACTTGCTCACCACCGCCAGCTCCAAGGGCACCCTTGTTAGGCTCTTCAACACCCTCGATAGTTCCTTGCTCCAAGAGGTCTATTCCATCTCATTCTTTCTTGCTTTTCACTTGGGACAAAACTTAAAATGCTTTTTCCATTGTTCTCTTTTCAAAATCAGAGTTTCACTTCAGTTATATACTCTATGCATTTAAGAACAGCATAGGTAAATGAGAAGAAACTTCAATTAAGAATGAACAACAATGCCAAAATCACCCAAGGAATTGCAACTTGGTTGCATGGCTGCTTATAGTATTGGTTTGCAATCAGAATTAGAGTTTCATTTATTAAAGGTTTGTGCGTTGTGAATGTTATTTTAAACGCTATCTTTTCTTATTATGTGTCTGTTAGCACGATCTTTTTTTTTTCCTGTGAATCTTGTGGTTTGGATTTTTTCTTTATTTCTATTTTTTTGAGTGTTCTTGGGTTGTTGTTTCATGTTTGAAATTGGGAGGTTGAAAATATTGGTATTTATGATGTGTTGAACTTTGATTTCAAATTAGGGAACTGAGAAGGAATGTGGAGAGCTTGGTATTTGTCTTTCTCTCTAAAAGGATGGTCCTGTGATGGGAAAGGAACCAATCTAACTCTAATTTGTTATGGATTTGATTTACATAGTGGTTGTTTCTTGATTCAGCTTCTTGTGGATCTTTAATATGTTCTCTTCAATTTATAATGGATATACATTCTTATGTTAGATATTGATGGAACTAACTTTAAGGCCCCATAGGCTCTGTTGGTTTATAGACACTTTGGTTGATGTCACGAATAATTCTGAGAATGTTTTTGTAAAACGTGATGCAGACTTTGGAATTTTTTTTTCCTTCTAGATAGAGGCATATGCTTGCCTAAACTGATAAATTACAATCTCTCCCTTGCCCCTAAATTCTAATTGGTTGTTTGGCTAATCTTTGAGCGCATATTCTTTGTAAAGTCTTGTTAAAAGGGCTTAGGTATCTATCATCTAACCAAAGTGAAAGAATTTGCTTATCATATCCCAAGGGTCTGTTTCAATAAACTTCTCCACAAGCATTTCTAGGAGAAAATAAAATAGGAAGGAAAGATAAAATAAGTTTTTCCATAAGTTAAAATTAACTTATGCATTAGTTAACTTGTAGAATTTCTCTTATATTAGCTTCTCCAAAAATCTTATTTTAAACTTATGCATAAGTTAGTTTTAGTTTGTGCAGAAACTTATTTCATTTTTTCTTGTTTTCTTCGACTAGTTCTTATAAAGAAGTTTATTCAAATAGACCTTAATTCTAATTTAATTTGTACTTGAATTATTGTTGTCTACACCTGAACTTTTGTTTCCCTACGTGAGTGGAGTCTCTTTAATGGAAATTTGGCATTTTTTATTGTTCATATATTTGAAAAGATCAACCTCAGTTAGTAAGGTGTAAATATGATAAATATGAATGATTTTTATTTGCTGCTTGAAGTCCTTTTTCATTTTGAAGCTCTACAAACATGCGCACAGAAAATAAATTAAAAGGGATTTAATCTAGTTAAGAGTGTCCTAGCAGAAAGCTAGTGACAAAACTCAATAGCTAACCTCAAGCCACGTTTTGTGCCTCAATGCTACCTGATAAAAGGAAATCAAACAAATCTTTGTCATATTATAAATATTAGAGTACACCAAGTCAAAAAAATATTGTATATATTAGAGTCTATATTTATTTCTATCTAACTAAATAGTACACCAAATCAATTTGAAACATGCCTATTTTAATTTGTTGATACTGGTTAGTAGAAGTATGTGATTGATCTACTATAAAATTCCTCTATATTAGAATAAAATTAAATTATCGTCTAACCCCACATTCTAATATACCATTAGAATCATGTAAATATAGTAACTATGTATAATAGGATTAATTAGATTGATTCTATATTTATGTAAATAGCCAAAAATAGGTAAGTAAATATTCTGTAATTATATACTCTTTACTATAAATTCAATAGCTCCACTATGCTCTAAATACATAGAATTCACCTATGCTTTCTTGTTCAACAGATACCAATATTAAGAAAGTTTCAAATTAGATTGCATAATTACCAAATGTTTCTAATTACTCCCCCACATGACCAGTCTATCATATCGAGTTTCTACATCTTATAGCTAAAATTAATGGATACCTAGTAGCCAAGGCACAAATCCAATTAGAATTAAACATTTTGGAAATTGTAAGAATCCAAAATAAATTATAAGTTTAATGTCAATACATTTTTGGAAATTGTTTAGACACTCATAACTCTATTTCTGGATTCTATTTTTTCATAGGACATTCTCTTATTGCCTGGAAATCCAACAAATAAAACAAGATATCTTGCTCTTTAGTTGAGACTAAATATCTTGAACTGGTAGCAGCCATGCCAGCCACTAAGGAGCTTCAATGGCTTACTTGCTTTACGAACTACGCCAATCTCCTTTTCATGACTATTTTGTACTGTGACAGCCAAAGTGCATTGCACATAGCTGGTAATCCAATGCTCATCAATTCAGCTTCTCAAGTTGCTAATATTTTCACCAAGGTTTCTAATCTATAGGTGTTTCAAAATTTGATTACCAAGGTGGACATCTTCCACCATTCAACTTGTGGAGGGTATCATAAGTCAAAGAGGTAATATAGATATATTATTTCTCCAAATGAATATTTGAATACAAAGCATCCAGAAACTACATTATAACAAAGTTTCATGAAATTATTTTATCTAAAGGAAAAACACTTGAAGCATAACAATGCAGAGATGATCAAGGTCCCAGGCCAAAAATATAAAGTTCAAGTAATTTTACAAAAATTACCAAATATAGCCAACAGGACTGTTGGCATCATGCGAAAAATAAAGCATCACTTTTACTCTCTTGGGTCTGTGATCAACTTATCAAATCAACAGATGTAATGCATTTAGTAATTTTAGGACCTTATGTTTTGTTTTGCCAACTGACAGCAACTTTGTTTTTATTATTATGTGCTTCCTGACAAGAAATTCATATCAGACTTTCAAGACATTATTCATTAAATTATTAATTATGTGTGCATAGGAATTTAGGAGTATATCTAGTGAGCTCCTCCTCTTATGAGAGGAACTGATTTTTACCATAAAATCATAAATAGATAATCAACATTAGATTTAAGTAAAACAATCTTGACTATCCATGTTTAGTAGCATGACCAAGATTTAACTCCTCTTACATCTCATGCTCACATTAGATACAAACACTATATATAAACAGGGTTCGAAAAGAAGATCATCATTCATCACTCCAACAACAATGTTATTCTGGAAAACTGCCCCCCCACCCCCAGTCGGTATAATATAGTAATCAATAGACGTAATAAATTTGGACCTTCAGAATTATTTGTTTTGTTTTCCAACTGACAGCAATTTCTTTCTTGATTATTATAAACTTGCTGAAATAACTTCATATAAGATTTGAAAGAAAATCACCACTGCACCAATACTTTATCATAGAAAACGAGCCCCTGCAGTCAATATAGCATAGTAGAGTATAACTTGAAATTCAGTTGATTCAAGCACTAATATGGTTATAAAATGGGATGCTCTTTTTCTAAATTTCACCACTTGCTTTTCTTTATTACTGTAAAACTGAGTACCTTAACCTTGACATATAACCTCTTCCAGAACACCACAGATCACTTTCATAGTTCATACAATGGTCAGGTGTAACAAAAATACAAACTAGCAGCTAAGGCTACGAAAATGGTCTACTCCAAAACAAAAGGAACCAAAAGTTTGCTTAAATTATTATCCACTACATACCCATCAATTTTATCCCATGGAACTAGATGTCAATGAAATAAATATTACATTACTTATTACATAAACCTCGTACAAAGGGATTCTAACATACTTCAGCAACAAAAACTCCTCCCAAAACCAGTCATAACATAGGAACCATCAACTGTGAATTCAACCATATCACAGATCAAGCCAGCAAATCAACGCTGTTCTGTTCTATCATATATAAATTAATCTTAGTATACAACAAGAACGATTGTTATAGTCAAAAACTCACCAGAAGGGAACTTTACAACTGCATCCACCAACATCACTAGTTCTTAGTCACCTGTGAATGAAAACAAAACCTAATTGTAAATTGTACTTTGTTACTTCATTATGTGTAAACTAAATGTAAATAGGGCGACAGAGGAGATGAGAGTCAGCCAAACCATAAACCCCTTGAAACCCTAACCAAAACTGAATTCCTTGGCTTCACCACAATGCTCGGCCCAAGCGAAACAAATTGCCTATCACACCTTCAACCTTCGTGTAGAGAAGAAACACGATTTAGGGTTACACCACACTTCTTGCGAACACTTCTTTGTAGAAGAAGATCATGCTTCAAGAGGGGATTCTTCGGGGGGAAATGGCTTGCGCAGGTCACCAAACAAAGCAAACAAGATGCTTCGAGACAGGGTTCTTCAGGGGGAAATGGCGATTCAACAATGGCTGGGTCGCGCGACTTTCTGTGTTGAACAAGATGCTTCACTAGAATTTTTCGTGGAGAAAGGGCTCCTACGTATGCGTCTCTATACTACATCGGTTATTGCGTGAACCGATATAGATGTACTTGTAAATATTTACAAAATTGTCACCGCGCATTCAAAACAACATCGGTCTCACCAAAAATGATGTAAAATGCTCAATATTTACATCGATTTTGTCCATAATCGATGTAAATTTGCTTTACATTGTACTCTTATTTACAAATATGCCACCACATCCAATTTTTACATCGGTTCTACCTAAACCGATGTAGAATTGACGACGTTGAACAATATCTTTCTAGTAGTGATAAGTGAGGGTTTGACATTGAACTCTAGCAAGATATATAGCTCTTCAAGAAGGGAGGAAGACGAGGGTAGTAGTAACACTAAAAGAAATATCACATATAGTTACATACAAAAAGTGTCACTATAGATATAATTAATATATGTGGATATATATTTATTTGACATATAGTTATACATAATTTTAGTGTTGATTTTGAATGAGATTTAATAACATATTTTATATGTCACTATAGTGTATATCCACACTTTTTAACAATATATAACAACATATATTACATTTCTTATGTGAGTAAAAGTAATTTTTAGTGACATGTATAGTGTTACTATACAATGTAAGTTACTATATGATAATTTTCTTCTAGTGTATGGTAATTAAAGAACCTACAAATAGCTAAAGGTGGTGCCATTTATATAGGGGTAGGGTGTGACATAAAATGTGAAAAGTTAGTTAGGCTACATTGGAGTTTATTAGGATATTTCATACGTAAGGCGTGACGAAGTTGGATTAAACTTGGGAAGTTTGAACTAGTCAAATAAATAGTATTTTAGAAAATATTTTAACGTTTAATGTATTTATTTTAGAGTTTTGAATAATATTTAATTAGTGATATGAGCTTTATTTTAATTATGTGACACGATTTGTAATTATATTTTGTTTAATTAGTGGAGTAGGAGTTATTTTTATGAAATGTATTTTATTATTAATAATTATGTTTAAGTTATCTTATAAAAGGGAGAAGATATGTTTAATATTATTATTATTATTATTTAATGGAAGGGAAGGAAGGACGTAGTAGTCTTTTGCAAATTATTATTATTATTATTTTATGAATTTGAGAAAAGGGAGGTTATTAGAAGTTATCTGAGTCATTCCACGCATTCACTTCTTCCTAACTCATTTTCTTTCTACGCTTCTAAAGACCAAGGAGAACCTAAAGGAGAGAACCAACCCGATTTTGCTCGTGCTTCATCTTTTGTTCATCAAGGTAAGGAGGAGTGAGAAACCTCGCTCGAGGGTGTGAGAATAACTATTGGGTAGCAGGATTGGCCCCTAATCCCTTGCCTAATGCATGCTTTAGGAATAAGCAGATTATGAAATTTTTCTGTTGTAATATCTGAGTTTTCTGTTGGGATCATGTTTGGATGTGATGCATGAATATATGATTGATTTTGAAATTAGATAAGTTTTTATATGAATTAGAGTGCTATGTGGGTTTCTGTGGGAAACCCTATGAGAAACAATTAGGGGTATGATCTTTTCACAACATTTAAGGTAGTTTACATAAAATTGAGTATGGATTCATGATCTGGGTGTTAATTGAAGTGTTTTTACCCATTGAATGCTATAATTATGTCAATGGCAGTGAAATACGCAAGATTTTGCAAAGTTAAGTAATGCAGGTTCGCGTTGGGGCACCAGGTGCAGTTCTTCGTGTCTGGCACAATTTTTAAGCCGGGCTTAGTCTTTTTAAGTCGGGCTTAGCAGTTAAGTCGGGCACAATTTTTTTAAGCCGAGTGTAGGAAAGTTTTGTCGAGCAGATTTCTTCCCTTTAGGTGTGTTATTTAAATCGTCGGGTGCGCTCAGGGCGCGCCAGGCGTGATGCACCACTTTTGGTGTGGCATTTAATGCGTCGGGCGCGAGTTAGGGTGCGTTGGGTGTGATCCCTATGATGTTTTACATGTTTTATGTCTTGTTTGAAGGGGCAAATTATGTGGGAATTACCTTATTATTGTGTTAACGTAAGTGATGTGTTTTATGAGCATGATAAGGACAAGAATCTCCAAATGATGATTTTATGAGTATGATTATATGAAATGTGAAATGTGAATAAGTGACATGAGACATGTTGTGAATTACGTGTTATTGTGAATACTATGACTATGAGAATGTGAAACATGATGAAATGAGATAAAACATGAAATTCCTTGACAAGTAAAATGTTGAGTCCATGAGTTTGTGAATGTGTGACATGCATCATATGCATTTATGTGATGAGGTACGATATGGAGTACATCGTTAGGGAAGGCCCTCCAAGTGTGAAACATCTTGGAGGAGTCCTAGGGGATAGTGCAATTTGGAAGGCCTAATTTTTCTCGTTTGTGTGCATAAGACGTATCTTGTGCAGCTTCACTATCCCGATGAGACCCTAGTTAGCAATACATCCTTCTAGTTGATAGCGCACGATAGAGCTGGCATGTAAAACTACTCCAAGTATGTTGCTTCGGCAACATACCACATGATATGTGATTATAAAACACGTGACTGGCGCTACATGCATGCATTTATGAGTCGAGTTCATGACATCATTTCATGATGAATGACTGTGTATGAGTTACGGTTGTATGTATAATTTAAAATTGCACCTGATTAATGTGTAGCTATGGATGTGCTTGTTAAGACTTGTGTGTGTGCTGCCTGACTATTATTTTTACACCTGAACCCAAGTGAGATGTTTCTCACTTCCCTATTTGCTTTGTATGTGTATTTTATTGTGTTGCAGGTGATCATCAACATGAGGATGTTGGTGATGAGGCTTAGGCTTTAGTTGGGCGTGCTCTGATAGGATATGTGACATCGGGGCATAGTTAGGCTTAGTTAGGATTTCCTTATTGTTATTTAGTTTTGGAAAAAACTCATGTTTCATTTTCTTGTAAATTTCGTATTTGACCATGATTTACGCTTGTGAATGTGAATGCTCTACTCTTATGTTAGTGGAATCATTCTTTTAATTCAAAAGATCTTTATTACCTCGAGAATATGTTTTATAATTATTGTATATGTATGTTGGGGTAGAGGGTGTCACAATACCACTAAATGTGACACCCTCTACCCCATATTCATGATTATGCAATAAATAAGAATAATTAAAATCTTTCATAAATGAAACCAAATTCTCAAATATCTTACGTAGAGGATTTACATTCATAAACTCATAAACAATATCTTCAATGCAGAAATTACAAAGGAAATATCTTACGTACACCTGGAATAGCTTGTTATATCACTTGAATGCGGCCTAAGTGGCACACCTGGAATAAATCATTTCATCATTTGTGAACCAAGGTACACCTAGAATAACTTGTTATATCACTGGTATGCGGCCTAAGCGACACACCTGGAATAAATCATTTCATCACTAGTGACCCAAGGTACACTTGGAATAACTTGTTACAAACATCACTAGTATGCGGCCTAAGCGGCACACCTGGAGTTATATATGCACATGATGCATGTCACAAATTCACTATTTTATTGACTCAACATTTCACTTATGACGTTTCATCATATCTCATGTCACATTATTTCACAATATCATATTACAGAACATATGTTCACCTTTCACATTCTCACGTCATATTCAAAGTCTCATACAAGAAACTTCTCATAGTCATATACATCAAAATAATACATAAATCATACTAAGAAATTATTCAAAACATGAAGCCATCATCAATTTTACATATATTTCCTCAAAATCATCCAAAGATCATATTCCTAATTTTACTTCATAGGGTTTTCCACAAGAACCCATAGAGCACTCTAATTCATATCAAAACTTGTCTATCACATATTCATAGATCTCATTCAACAAGGAACACGACAGAAGAATCAGAAAGCAAAACAGAAAACATTCACATCTTGCCTATTTCTCAAAAACTTCTCTTAGGAACCTACATAGCACTCTAATTCATATGAAAACTTATCTATTTTTAAAATTAAACACATATTCGCACTTAGAAAACATCAAGGAACACAGCAGAACAATCAGAAAGCAAAATAGAAAACTTTCATATTTTGCCTGTTCCTAGAAGCATGCATTTACTACTAGAAAATAGAAAACTTTCATATTTTGCCTGTTCCTAGAAGCATGCATTTACTACTAGAAAAGGACTCTTCAACGTCACCAATTCTACATCGGTTTTAGTAAAAATGATGTAGAAACAAAATATGGTGGTATTTTTGTAATTATTTGAAAAATATAAAGCATATTTACATCGGTTTTAAGAACAAACAATGTAAATGTTGAATATTTTACATCGGTTTATTGGAGAACTAATGTAGAATTGAAAACGCGGTGACAATTTTGTAAATAAGAGAAACAAAGTAAACATATCTACATCGGTTCCCTTTATGACCGATGTAGTAGTGAATAGCTTTCCCTCACCCATGCGTATGTGCTATCTCCAAACCCTCTCCAAACGAAAGCCCTCGTGCCATCTCCGTAGAAAGCCCTCTCCAAACGAAAGCTTCTCATCACTCTTTGAAGAATTGTGCCTGTTGTTGGAGCCAATTTGCTTTGTCAACACGCCACCGAGAGGAAGCAAGATGCCATGGCTTATGTCGGCAATCTTGACCCTCAGGTATAAACTTACCATTCTCCGCTGTCCATCATTCTCGCATTTTCTAGGGTTAACCCTTTTTCTATGCGATACTCATTTCTCTTGGCCTTGACCTCTCTGCATCTACAACTCCTTTCTGGTATCTCTTTCTCTTTTCCTTTAATTTGTGTCTTTCTGTTGAGAACTTCGTGAATGCTGGTTTGAGGGTATGGAGCAATTTGTATTTTTTAGGGTTTTTTTTGCTATAAAATGAAATAGAACAAGTGGTCTTTGTGGAGACTCTAATAATTTTCATATTTGATCTAATTATGCTTACTTAACTGCCGCATTCGACTTGCATCCGTTTCTTGTCATTGTTAACATTGCTACCAATGGAATTTTCAAATAAATAGTTACTGGATTGTACCGTTTGTACCTAGGTAGTTATCTCGTAGGTGAAACTTTTACCTCGTATTCTGATTTTCATATAAAATAGGCTGATAAAGGTTCCTTTTTTGTTTATTTTGGATATGGCTTTGTAAAGGACAGGAGAATCAAATGTTTTAGCTTTTAAAACTCCACCATTTTTACAAGTTAATTAAATCTAATATTTCTGTCTTGAAAATAGTTTGAAAGATGAGCCTTTGTCCTTATGGATTGTAACTTCCTAACGCTATGTATCACACACCTGGAAATGATAAAAAAAAATTTAATTCTCTAATTTATTTAAATTTCTTACAAGAAAGAAGGAAAATTTCCCCCTTGCCCCCTCCCTCCTCTACTTTTGTCCTTATCGGTGGCTTATGAAAATTTTGTGTCCTTGAACGCCTAGCCAATAACCCCTTTTCTATCCTTAATTTCCTTTTGAGAGGAATCTGGATGTGTAAGTATAGTTCCAGGCATAATGATACGGGTCAAATTGTAATTAGATGGAATTACAGGTAGTTAAGTGAGGATAGTTAATAATAGGAGGATTATTTTGGTCAAAGTTCCGTGTTTTTAGTAGTTAGTAGTTCGTTGGGAAAACCAACTAGTATATTAGAAAACTGTCTGATACAGAATTGTTAAATCAGTTGTGTAAACAAATTTCCCAATCTTGTGAATCAATCATACTGTCTCAGAACTCTTTCTATTCCAGGGTTCTCTGTTCTTCTTAGTTCTTCGGGTTAATTCCATAATTCCTAGAACTGATCATAGCAATTGGTATTAGCTTGGTTCCTTCCTTCACAATCATCTATGGCAGAAAACACGCGCATTCAAGCATCTGTTCGTGAAGCGGAAGAGCGCATCAGTACCAAGATGGAAGAGAAATTCATGGAACTTGCAACATCGATGCAGCGAACCTTGATCCAGCACATGCAAGAACTGTTTCAAAAACATACACAAGATAACTCACCACCTTCTCATTCGGGCAGTTCCATACGTGGCGGGGAATCTTCTTATTCTTGCAATACAAGATTGGCGCGTTTAGACTTTCCAAGATTTAATGGCGACGGGATTAAACAATGGTTAATCCAGTGTGAGACTTTCTTTTCGGTTGACAACACACCTGAAGATTATAAGGTGAGGTTAGCAGTGGTACATTTCGAAGGAAAGGCACTTCAATGGCATAGTGCATATGTGAAAACTGTAGGATTAGAAAATTTACCTTCTTGGCTGGAATATACACGAATCTTGCTGGATAGATTTGGGGAAATTTGTGAGGATCCAATGGCGGACTTAATGAAGCTAAGACAAAAAAGTTCTATTACGGAATATCATGAAGAATTCGATTCGATTGTGTCACACGTGGAATTATCTGAAGCACACCAATTAAGCTGTTTCTTGGGAGGGTTAAAACAAGATGTTCAAATGATGGTCAGAATGTTCCAACCTGATTCGGTAAGAAAAGTATTTTCCCTTGCAAAAATTTATGAAGCTTCTACCTTAAGTAACCCTCAATTCAAACCAATTCTGAAAAACCAGAAACCACAATTTTCTTCTAAGCCACCTATTCTATCCAATCCATCTAAACCTGCAGAATCCACACCTATGAAGGCCAAAACCTTTAGAAACCTGTCACCCGCATATATGAGTGAGAAAAGAGCTAAAGGTCTATGTTACTTTTGTGATGAACCTTTTACCGCAGAACACGGATTAACCCATAAAAAACTCCAAATTCATGTCATGGAAATTGATGATGGTGAGTCAGTTGACACTAGTGAAGATGTGGATGTGGAGAACAGTCCAAAGGATTTGATTGAACCTCAGATCTCTGTACATGCCCTGACTGGTATTGCTAGTTTTAGAACTATGCGAATTACAGGCTATTATAAAAAAAAAACCCTTGCATATCCTTATAGACAGTGGTAGTACTCATAATTTCCTTGATGTTCAAGTTGCTTGGAAATTAGGTTGCTTGATACAACAAATGGAAACTATGAATGTTATTGTGGTTGATGGTACTAAAGTCAGAATTTCTTCAATGGTCAAGAACTTTGGTTGGACTATTCAGAATACTAATTTTTCTTCTGACATGATGTTACTACCTTTAGGTTGTTATGACCTGGTCTTGGGAATCGAGTGGCTGGTTACATTGGGAGATATAGTTTGGAATTTTGACAAACTTTTTATGGAATTTTCTGATAGTGGCAGGAAGCATGTGCTGCGAGGTGCTTCTTCTACCAATATTAAAACTATAAGGAAACAACAGGTGACTAAAGCTCTTAAAGAAGGTGTTCATTTGTCTGTCTTACAGGTAGGTGATGCTTCTGAAGGGTTGTTGCATTCTTTAACAACTCATGCTGACCAACCTGAAATACCAAGAGCAATAGATGAACTGCTAAGTCAGTTTGTGGATATATTTGATGAACAAACCAGCTTACCTCCAAAGAGATTAGGATATGATCACAAGATTCCCTTAATGCAGGGCTCTAATCCAGTGAACAAAGGGCCTTACAGATATGCGAAACAACAGAAAGATGAAATTGATAGATTGGTGAGAGAGTCACTCAAGTCAGGTATCATTCAGCCTAGTAATAGTCCTTATGCAAGTCCTGTTGTTTTGGTGGGTAAGAAAGATGGTTCTTGGCGAATATGTGTAGAGTACAGGGAATTAAATAAGAATATAGTGAAAGATTAATTTCCAATACCACTTGTTGATGATCTTCTGGATGAGTTGTATGGCTCTGTGATTTTTTCCAAAATCGATTTCAGATCCGGTTACAATCAGGTGAGGATGGATCCTATTGATATCCATAAAACTGCTTTTAAAACCCCTAGTGGCCATTTTGAGTATTTGGTAGGGCCTTTTGGCCTCACCAATGCTCTTGCCACTTTTCAGGGATTGATGAATGAGGTCTTTAAAGACTATTTGAGGAAGTTCTTGCTAGTTTTTTTTTAATGATATACTCATTTACAGCAGTAGTTTAGAAAGCCATATTGGCCACTTACAGCAAGTTTTGACAACCATGAGAGAACACTCATTGTTTGCCAAGAGGTCTAAATGCTATTTTGGAGTTACAAGGGTAGAATACTTGGGACATTATATATCTCGAGAGGGGGTAGCCACTGACCCAAGCAAAATTGTAGCAATCCAAAATTGGCCACTGCCTCAATCCATTAAACAACTGAGAGGTTTTTTGGGTTTATCAGGCTATTACAGAAGGTTTGTTAAGGGATATGGAAGTACAGCTAAACCATTAACCAATATGTTAAAGAAAGAAGGGTTTTGTTGGTCTTCAGAAGCAAAGGAGGCATTTCAATCCTTAAAAACAAAACTGGTACAGGCACGAGTTTTAGCATTGCCAGATTTTACCAAAACCTTTGTGGTGGAGGTAGATGCTTCGGGGTTTGGAATTGGAGCTGTGCTAATGCAGGAGATGCACCCAATAGCTTTCATAAGTAGAGTCCTGAGTCAATAACAACAATCCCTCTCTACATATGAAAAGGAGTTATTGGCAGTAGTGTTTGCTGTCCAAAAATGGAGGCACTATTTGTTAAATAGACATTTTATTATCAGGACTGATCACAGGAGCCTCAAGTACATGTTAGAACAGAGATTAACTACCACTTTTCAATAGAAATGGTTAGTTAAATTAATGGAGTTTGATTTTTCCATCGAATATAAGCAAGGGAAGGACAATACTGTTGCTGACGCCCTTTCTAGGTTGGGAACTACAGATTGTTGTGCTATCCAAGTTCATCAGTTAGAATCTGATTTATTAGCTCGAATCAAGCAATCTTGGGAAAGTGATGGTGATATTCAAAGGTTAATCAGTGAGGTTCAGACCAAAACAACTTTACATAAACATTTCAGTTGGGATAAAGGGGAGTTAAGGAGGAAGGGTAGGCTGGTTATTGGTAAGGATTTCAAATTAAGACAGGATATTTTGGGTTGGATGCATACAGCAGCTTCAAGTGGTCATTCGAGAAGAACTGCAACCCTCCAAAGACTAAAGGCAATGGTTTATTGGAAGGGCATGACTAAGGATGTGAAGGGGTTTATCCAACAATGTAGTATTTGTCAAAGATGTAAGTATGAGACAGTGGCATCTCCTGGTCTCTTGCAACCCTTATCTATTCCTGAGCATGTGTGGCAACATATTACTATGGACTTTATTGAAGGATTGCCTAGTTCTTATGGGAAACAAGTTATTTTTGTGGTAGTTGACCGGCTAAGCAAAGCAGTTCATTTCATGGCATTAGCTCACCCATATACTGCAGCTGAAGTAGCTCAATCTTTTCTAGACAATGTCTTTAAATTGCATGGGTTTCCTGAATCCATAACAAGCGATAGAGATGCTATTTTTGTGAGTCAATTCTGGCAGGAACTTATGGCTTTCCAAGGAGTACAGATTCAACTTTCTACAGCTTACCACCCTCAAACAGATGGCCAATCTGAGGTAGTGAATAGATGTCTTGAAACTTATCTCAAGTGTATGTGTGCTGACACTCCCTTACAGTGGTCTAAATGGTTGGCTTTAGCTGAATGGTGGTACAACACCAATTATCACAGCACCATTAAAGCAACTCCTTATGAAATAGTATATGGTTAGCCCCCACCTATCTACTTACCATATCTACCTGGTGAATCTAAGGTGGCGTTGGTCGACAGAAGTCTTCAAAGGAGGGAGGAAATGCTTAACTTTTGAAATTCCACATGAGGAGAGCACAAGATCGAATGAAGCAATTGGCTGATAAACACAGATCTGACAGGAAGTTTAACATAGGAGACTTGGTCTATGTGAAGTTACATCCATATAGACAAATTTCAGTAGCTTTCAGAATCAATGCTAAATTGGCTCCTAAATATTTTGGACCTTACAAGATCATTGATCAAGTGGGTTCAGTAGCTTACAAGCTGCAACTTCCAGCTGAATCAAAAATCCACAATGTGTTCCATGTTTCTCAATTGAAAAAGCATGTTTGAGAAGTTACTACTTTTGTCAATATTCCTATTTCTGCTACTGATTCCAGCAATGAGAAGGAACCAGAAGCTACAATTGATCGTATGACAGTTAAGAGACAAGGCAAGGCAGTCACCAAAGTACTTGTACAATGGAAGCATCGGCTACCTGAAGACTCAACTTGGGAATTTTACTATGATTTGATGAAAAGATTTCCAAATTTCCATCCTTGAGGTCAAGGATTTTTGTAAGGGTGGGGCATTGATACGGGTCAAATTGTAATTAGATGGAATTACAGGTAGTTAAGTGAGGATAGTTAATAATAGGAGGATTATTTTGGTCAAAGTTCCATGTTTTTAGTAGTTAGTAGTTCGTTGGGAAAACCAACTAGTATATTAGAAAACTGTCTGATACAGAATTGTTAAATCAGTTGTGTAAACAAATTTCCCAATCTTGTGAATCAATCATACTGTCTCAGAACTCTTTCTATTCCAAGGTTCTCTGTTCTTCTTAGTTGTTCGGGTTAATTCCATAATTCCTAGAACTGATCATAGCACATAATGTATATGAGAGTGTAGTCAATTCAATAAATTGCAGCATTACATCTTTGCACTTTTTATCAAAGAATAACTTTAGTATAGCAGGTAATGAATTTCAAACTCTTTCTTGTTTGTTGTATTTTTTTTAATATACACAGCTAGAGAAAGCAAGAATTGAATAGACAAAACGTAGAGGTTAATAGTACATTGATCTAACAATCCTTGGTTGCTGACTTGTTGATTGACAGCAGCTAACTAAAGGATGGTAGTGTAAAATGCCCATGCCAGCAAGGTGCTTTATCTGAATACGTGTCACTGTTTGGTTTAGAGAGTATTAAATAATGATCACATAATTTGGATTAGATATCTAAATTGGGGCAGGGTAGGTATTGACGTGAAAGAAAGAGAAAAATAATTTGGTTTAGAAAGTTGATGTGATTTTTTATCATATAGACATAGTTCACATCAGTAGGATAGCTTGTAATTTTTTTGATTTATGTCCCAAATACAGAGCTTCAGACAACAATGTGGATTACGGAGAAAGAAATACATATTAATTTGCTATGAATTAAGGTTATTGATCACTACTAGAAATGCCTTGTTTACATGCGAATTGAGTTATCTCTAACTTAATTTCATAAAGAAATGTATAATTGAGATGTTTCTTGTTTCTAGCATTATTCAATGAGTTAATTCTGCATTTTGCACTCTAACTGTTCGTAGAAATGCTTGATCGAGGTTTTTTTATTTTGTCTTTCATTATTCTTCAGCATGCTTTGTTATTATTTAGTTCGGGCCAATTGGATAAACTTACAAAATTACATTAAATTAGCTATATATTTGATTTTAAATAAAATAAAATTAATTAAACCAATTATTTCCTTTTTCTCTTTGGTTTTCACTCTAACAAACTTCGCTTCCTTCATAGTATTCTTCAACTTGCAGGAATCTTACGAGGACCAGTTATATTCCTTATAAAGGTCCATAATCTATTTACTTTGATTCTTTCTCGTGATTTTTTAATCACACGTCTGCACCTAATAGCAAGTGATGAGTAAATATCATAAATTGCATTATAATATTAGAAATTTAAGAAAAATGATAGTTAATATCTCAAATCTCATGATTAAAATGGTTGTTATAATTGAAGATTTAGTATAGTAATTACTGAGTCTAAGGTTTCAACAACAAATTTTGAACTGTCACAACGAAACTAAGAGGCATGTGCCGTAATTTTTTGTTGTTCGTCTGTTTTTTGTTTGTTAAGGGCACAAGTTACCATCTAATTATTTTCTTTTTACTCAATTTTAGAACAAAATTAAATCTATGGAAAGACTCTTTGCAATGACTTGTTGTGAGCTTAAATTTGTTAGCTTATTTTCTTCCCTTTTTGTAGCTTGACATTAAAACCTCTTAGATAAACTCTTGCAAGCATTGGAATTGGTTGTGTTAGTGAGTTTTAGAAAATTTGAAAATAATGTGCATAGAGATATTTTTAATTTGTCATATATTTTCTTATATGTATATGTTAACATATTTGATCAGTGAGTTTTAATTTTAATATATATGGTAGTAGCAATTCGATATGTTGTACTCTGAAAGATCAACCTGATGTGCATGTTGTCCCCACTACTAGAAAATTATTATTCTACATCAGCAATTTTACATTAGTTCTACTAAAAACAAATTTAGTTAATGGTTAGGTTGACTTCTATCTACCAATAAAAATGTAATGTTTTTTTCTATTATAACAACTTAGATATTACTGGGTATGGTAGCAGCCGTGATGTAAATTGGTTTCTATTTTAACCATTTAAATCATAATAGCGTGTATAATCTTCCATTAGGATCTCTACAAGAGTTTTTTCTACTAATTAACCACTTTTAAGTTTCATTTAGTGGATTGAGCTCATAAAAAAAAGATATAATCAAACGTTACCTCATCCTTTGTTAGGCGTGGATTGTATTGCATCTCCTCTCCAATAATGCTTACCTACAATTAGTAATTTGTTTAAGCAACTCACAACAAATTTGGCAAGAAAAAAGCTTAAGGGTGTCCTTATGTGGCAAAGGAACATAAGAATAGTAGTATTTCAAGGTTAAGTTTGAAAGAATAATACCTTTTTATTAATAGTCCAAATAACACCTTGAAGGCAGGATATTTTTGCTAAAATTAACAAAAAAAAATTGACGTTCAATTTAAATTCTTTTGTTAATTGATTTATTATAAATTTTTAAGAATATCGTTAATCATCTAGTGAACAAATAAGCTTTAATAATTGTAATTTTATTAATTGATTTTGCTTTACCATTAAAAAGAACAATCCTTTCCCTTTTTTTAATTATTTTTTACATGTTTTATTTGTTTAATTAGTTTGTTATCTAATTGGATTTTGAACAGGCCACTTAACCAATGCATTATTCTTATTACTGCACAGTGCTCCACAACCACTATGGAGAGTCATCATGAGTTGTATACCATGACTTTAGAGTACACAAAAGGGAGTGTGGCAAGAGCAATTAATGTGTAGGATTCTCTGACCGATGTGTCTGGTGCTTTAATTTAGGGAATTGTGTACCATAAACATCTAATTTTGATTGGCAGTGTGGTATCAATATTATTCCTACTTGCAAATTCAATTACACATTTGGATAATATTTTTTATATTTTATCAAATCTGACACTACAATTTGCCTATCACATTTGGATTTCAATTTCATTTTTATGGTTATGCTACTGCTATAGGCATCATCAATATTTATTCGTTTCATTAAAATTTATACATAAACATGTATATTATAATTTGTTTGTGTGATTTTTATTATTGTAATTTGGTGGCCAAGTTAATCTTGATGCACAATATTTATCCATTATATTTATATATGAAAAATGTCTAAGATTTATATATATGTTCATTACAGGTAATTAGAAAGAATCTAAAAACAAGAATGATTTATTTTTTAAAAATACAATCT